GTACAGTTGCAATTCAAGTCAAATTTTCAAATATCGTAAATTTCATTTTTGCCCTTTAAGTCATTATTTGCTTCTTTCAAACAATATCTCCATTGAGAGGGCAAATATGTCCAAGTAATACAACAGCCTTATCATCTCTGCATTCAATCCGACGGCTGGTTTCTTTTATCTGAAAACTGCAGGAGGTCACTGTAGAAAAACGAGAATTTCTCCAAAAAAAGGGGTGTAACATACACAGAATTTTTTTCTCCTTATCCATTTCATTTCAGGTTAAGAAGATGTGGAAGTGCATTTATTTCTATAAGAACGGTACACTTCGAGGTGTAAAGTTGGAGATAAGGAACTCTCGACTCGTCCCATTCAACACCCCTACTTTAGGGTGGACTATTACACGTATCCTTCTGATGTTTCTTAACATGCCTTACGAGGTTCATGAATCCTCAAGCACCTAATAACAAAGTGAACTTGGCATTGGACTGTTCATGCAATTTTTTTGGAAAAAAAACTAGTTGAAGCATCATAGATTACATCCACCTTAACATGTAGAATTTTGTATTGTTACTTTAGACTTTGAAATTACAGCCAGCCTAAAAGAGAGATGGTTGGGATTTTCAAATGTTACATTTCTTGAATGAAGCTGCAATCAGTGATGCCAACTTTTATATAGGTTGAAGGGTCACTTATTTATGAAAAAATATCATTAGTGATGTTGACTAATTAATTATATTGAATTGCAGCTTGATGGTGAATCATTGTTTGAGACGTTACTCTAGTGGGACCTACCATTAAAACCAATAATCTTTCCAGCATTATTATCTCTCAATGCTTCCATTAAATGGGAAAGTATTTAATGGAAAAATTACATCATCAAATAAATGAAATTAAATGCAGATGAAAACTCTAGATGGTGTATTTATTACAATTTGACATCATAAGCTAGACGTATCTGTGAGTTCACACACAAGTCATAACTGATAGTTACATTGGCACAACGTGTTTCGAATTTGTCAAAATTCAAATGTAAACAACGTTAGAAAAACACAAATGCAGCCTCAATACATCTTATTATGTAATGAAATATATAAATACATATAAATACCTATACGATATGAGGTTGGTCTAGGCTGTGTGGAGCCTAATGTACACTTTCTTCGTCGTCTACGGTAAGGTCGAGTGGGGGTCGGAGGGAGGTAGGTCTATCGGTCAAAAGTTGGAATCTTTGAGGCCAGAAAATTAAGTACTATAAGGGTATTTCGAGAAATTTATACAAGTCTTAAGCTGTAAAAGATAATTTTGTTATAGGGCAAGCCATCGTGGTATAGAAAAGATGCACAAGTCACATTGTAGGTGTTTTCTTGGATATATTTTATCGACTTTCGTTAAAATATACTAAAAATCGAATCTTTAAGTTGCATTGTGAATTAAGATATAATCAATAACAATCGATAGATGAAATGGGTTCATAGCCAAGTTTAAAAGGTTTAAACAACTTTTTATCATCAGATTTACTTGTTCATTTTAGATCTTTTAGTCAGCCTTTTTTTTTTTGAAAATGAAACAAGTTTCATTGCACATCACAATAGCTAACGGAACACAGAGGAAAGACCTCTAACACAAAGCCCTCCAAAGCGGGATTAAGTGCTACTAAGGCAAGAGTCCAAGCTAATACAATGGCCATCACAACCAACCGACAAACAAAAGCTAGCAACTAACAAACAGAAAAAACTAAACAAGACAACACCAACCCAACCAAACCCAGGAACCAGAACAGGTGCAAACACATCCGGAATCAAGGTCTTCATTAATCATCAATACACAGCAGGCCCTTCACCAAACCGGTGATTGAATACCCAAAACCCGAAGCAAGCACCGCACAACCACCACAACCCAACCAAAGAAGAAACACACCACCAAATCCAACACAACCAACCAAACACAAACAAACTATACACGACCCAAAACAAACAACGACAATAGAAGTCGAAAACATCTGCGACTTTACCAAGGCTAGAAAAATCCTACATAAAGCCAACTACGCACTCGGCACTTAAACACCCCCGCACGCAAGGAAACGGGCATTGTCTAGACTTCATCACTGCCAAACAAACCACACTACATACCAACAACAACCCAAAAACCACCACAACACAACCCAACCAATCATCCAACACACCACCAAACAACACACAACAAACACCAAAACACCACCATCACCAACCCACGCCCTGACTGGAAAACCAGTCCAAAAAGGCCCGCCGGCAGAGGTCCATCAGCAGCCCTCCCGTCAGCCTTCGCCGGAAAAGTACACGCACGACCGAGGCCAACCAAGAACCGGCCACACCTCGCTCGCCGCCACTCCCCAACCGAAGCCCACACAAGCACCGCCTGAAAAACTCTGCCAACCACACCACCGACC